AACTTCTCGTGGATAGTTGACAAATCAGCTGATTTTGCACAGGCTCTGGCAGGGGCCCAATCCTTCTGCGACTCCCTGTGTATGCCGATTGACTGGTCAAAGTCCTATTGCTGGGCAGTCAAGTCCTCCACGAGAAAATGGATGAAGCAGCAGACGCCCCAGCTACTGCCTGAGGGATGCCAGCTCAAGCTGGTGCAATCGGCCAAGGACCTGGGTGTTGTTTTTAGGCTTGGGCCCCAGTCCTGTCTGCAGGCTTCCACAAAAAGGTTGAGCCAAGGGCTTCAGAGGTTGAAACGGTTGGCGACGATGTGTCGTCCCCTTTCGGTGAAAGCACACCTGCTCTTAAGCTCTGTCTGGCCCACTACCTTCTACGGCATGGAGGGCCAATGCCTTGCCACCAACAAGCTGGATGCTCTCCGAACGGCGGCCACTCGTGCCATGATCGGAAATCAGCACAGTGCCTCACCTTGGCTGGCGCTCACTTGCCTTACGCCGCGCGTCTTGGATCCAGAGCCTTATGGGGTCAGTCTGGCCCTGTGTACTCTTGCCAGAATGCTCAAGGTTGAACCTGAACTTGGCCACTGGTGGCTTGGCAGGGCAGCTTCGCCATTTGATAGGACCATGAAGATCAAAGGACCGGCGAGTGCATTGTCCAAAGCTCTTGCACGAAACGACCTGATCCTCCTGATGGATGGGACAGTCAAAGGGCCCGGACATTGGCACTGCAACCTGCACACGTCACCCCCCTCAGGGATACGAGGTGCAGTTGAAGGGGCCTGGCGATATGAGCTGCCAGTCAAGCTGAAGCATCGAAACGGTCTTCACCAGTTGATGCCGCCTGCAGCGGATGTCACTTCCAAGGCTTTGAGTCACTTTCCGCCCGGCGAGCAAATGCATTTAGCGAGAACAATCGCTGGAGGCTACATGTCTGCAGCTGCCCGGGCCACATGGGACTCTTTGCAAGAAGCCGCCTGCGAATTTTGTGGGGCAAAAGACACTAAGTACCATCGGTTGTTAGAGTGCCCGTCTTTGACACAGGTCCGCCAACCTTTCAAACCGCTGCTGGAGTGGATGGAGTCAGAAATGCCTTCATGGATCCACAGCCCTTTTGCTTGTGAGCATGACAGTGAAGCCTTTCTTCGTCTGTTTTGGAGGTCTCGACGGTTGAGCTCGCCTCCGTCCATTGCTAGCTTAATTGATAGGTTTGGCCTCCATAAGCTCCATTTTTTCACAGATGGTTCGTGTGCCCACAGCAATTGCCCGGCCGCAAGACATGCTGCGTGGGCAGTAGTGCTTGATGTCCAACCGGATACTGATCTAGGCAGGCATGGCTCTGTGCCGAGCCCTCAAGAACTGCAGGCTCGTTTCCACACAGTAGCCAGAGGAGTGTTGCCGGGAGTCCAGACTATTTGTCGTGCTGAATTCAGTGCTCTGCTACAGGTGTGTCAGCTCGCAAGCCGCCATGCTTCTTTGCCGGTAGCCGTTTGGACTGACAGCCAGACCGCTCTTGGCCAAGCCCGGGATTACCTGGACGACCGCTGTGGGGTGAAAGCGAGCAATGTCAAGGACCTGTGCTGTGAACTCCCTGTTGAGCTTCCCTTGCAAAATCTTGCGCTGCACAAGGTGAAGGCGCATGTTGAAGCTGCGGAGGTTTCAGACGACAAATGGAACCAGACGCTAGGCAACGTTGCAGCCGACGCTGCGGCGCGAGCGGCCCTGGCAGATGATCTACCCCTGGCAGCCGAGTGCAGCGACGCCGTACGGAATTGGCGTCAAGATCAACAAGAACGTCTGCGCTTGTACTTCACTTACCTGATCGCGCTCATGAAGGAGGTGGTGCCTTTAAGAAACAGAACGCGACAGACTGGCTCTTGCCAGCAACCGGATTTGGACGATGACGAGCGGCTACGATTGTGGCGTTCTTTGAGGCCCTGTAACGCTCAGTCGTTGGAGCCCATGGCTTTTCCGACTGCAGTGGTGCAAGGTGCCTCCTGGCCTACATGGTTTCTGCAAGCAGTCTGGACTTGGTGTTTTCACTTGCAGTGGGGCTCTCAAGAGGAGCTCAGCCTGCGAATGCGAGGAGTCACTTTTCAGGAAATGTTGGTGAACTTTGTCATTTGCTCAGGCCGTTGCCCACCAGTGCAGGCAGAGGGTCAGTGGTATGATCCGCTGGACAGCTCCGGGATCCTTTGCCCAGTGTATCTGAGAGAGGCCATCAATTGTTTGGTGCAAGCAGTCAGATTTCTGGAGAGGCGAAGTCGCTGTCAACTGTGGCATGCCAAGGCGCATCATCGTGTATGGACCCTGGAATTTCTTGGGGACCAAACAGGCAGGAAGGGATTGGACCGTCGACCAAGGTGGCAACGGGATGATGAGACTTTTCATCTAAACTGTGCGATGTGGTCTTCAGGGCCGGAGGTCTTGCGCGAATCAGCGTGGAAACAGAACAAGCTTGAGCCGTAGGACTGAGGTCGCAAACGCGACTGCCCAGCCCAAAAGAGGCGAGGACTTGAGCAAGCTGGACAAGAGGAGAGGTGGAGTCGCTTCAGCAGGCCCACTCTTTCCTCCCTCAAACCCGGGAAAGGTTTACGGGGCACCCCTAAAACCTAAACCCTAAGCCTTAAACCTTGAAACCAGGAGCATCTTCAAGGGGTTCTGTGAGTAGGCCAAGAGACCTTGTGAGGAATGGGAGAAAAGTTGGTACTAGCAGTGCAGATGGCTGCTGCAAAGTTCTGATGATGCATTGTATGCCAGGAAGACATCCTAAACCTCAAACCTAGACCCCTAAACGCTAAACCCTGGACCCTATACGGCCTGCCCCGCCTCTAGACAAGGCTACTGGCTGAACGTGCTGAGAGTCTTGGCATGGTTCAGGTCAGCACCGCATGACCACCGATTCGTTCAAGCAGTAAGTTCTGGAGGTGCCTGAAGAAGTAGAAGAGGAGTGCTTGGATACGTGTTCAAGTTTGGAGAGGGTAGACTGGTGTTTCTTATTCCGACCTTCACCATATGAATCTCTGAGGATCTGCCCCTGAACCCTAAAACCTAAACCCTGAACACCTAAACCCTAAACCTGCAACACCCAAGGATATCTGGCGGAGAGAGACGTGGACTTCGCCTACTGGCCATTAAACGGCAAGAAGTACTCCGACTCTCAGCGGCACTGCGTCATGTGCTTCGGGGTTTAGTGTCTAGGGTCTAGGGTTTAGCGTTTAGGGTATACGGTCTAGGGTGCAGGGTTTAAAGGGTTTAGGGTGTCGGGTGTAGGGTTGATACTTACGGATTCAGGGTCGAAAGGGGACACAGGATTATTTCAGGGGTCACAAAGGGCTTGCTATGCCGGGTACTTGTCTAGCACGCAGGGTCTAGGGCTTAGGAAGAGCAGGAGGGCGGCAGCCAGGAAGAATTTCATGTGTGCAAGAAAACGTGCACCTGAGCAAAGCCCTTAAGCCATAAAGTCCCCTAAACCCTAAACCTTAAAGTCCTAAAGCCCTAAAGCTCTAAACCCTCAGCCCCCTGAAGCCCTGACCACCAACCTTAAGCCCTGAACCCTGAACCGTAAACTAAACTCCTAAATCCCTCAAGCCCTAAACCCTAAACTGGGGTTCTTTTTTGGCAATGTAGGTTAAGTTACTACAAGAACCCAGTAAAAGGACCCGAAACCCTGAACCTGAACCGCAAACCCCAATCCCTACACCCGAAACCCTAATCCCAAAACCCTAAACCCTGATCCCAAACCCTGGACCCTAAACCCTAATCCCAAACCCTATAATCCCAAACCCCTTCTCCTAAACCCTCAAAGGAAGGATACTTCTCCAGCTCCGGGGGCTTCGTCTACTGGGACCAGCCGTGGCCTGGCGTAGAATCGGTAGCAGTCGCTTGCACCCTAAACCCTGAACCCCAAACCCTAAACCCCGAAACCCTAAGCCCTGAAGCGGGTTTAGGGCTCCCCGGGATGTTTTTCGGTTTGGGTCTTAGGGGTTTAGAGGTTTTAGGGTTTCAGCGATTTGGGGTTTCGGGGTTCTAATTCGGGTTGAGGGGTTTAGCGTCCTAGGATTTTGAGGGTTCCGTGATATGAATGAGAGCCAACCTGTGCATGACATCAGGCGATCGGGGCAAGAGAGTCAGATCAGGGCAACTCTAGGAAAGCGGCTTGGGATTTCGGGTGTAGGATTTAGGGTTTCGACTCTGCTAAACCACACAGCCTGTGAAGCCGCAGAGAATTTTTCGAGGAGCCTGCTTCGGAGCGGGTTTAGGGTTGAGGGTTTAGGGTTTAGGGTTGAGGGTTTAGGGTTTAGGGTTGAGGGTTTAGGGTTTAGGGTTTAGGGTATCTTTGAAGACATTTTTGGCTCAACTCTTTTGTTACGCTTCCTTGAAGAACAGCGGAAGCAGTCATGGCAGCCATGGATGCGATCTACCAGAGCACTTCGTGTCAGGAGCTGACAGAGGCGATCAGCAAGGATCTCGCAGGGCACACGACTCAAGGTGCTCATGGCTTGAACTATTCTCTATTTTCATACCAAAACATCCTATATCCTACTATAGTATATCTATAATCTACTACAATATGCTGTAGCATAGCCCTAAACCCTAAACCCTAGACCCTAAACCGTTAAGGTGCCCATGGCTTGAACTACCATCACAAGAGCCCGGGCGATGAAGGCACCACCTTCTTCATGCCCAGTAAGTCGCTGTTGGGCGAAGGCGCTCTCCGTGGAGCGGTGCAGCAAATCAAGGCACTGGGGAGTTTAGGGTTTGGGGTTTGGGGTTTAGGGTTCAGGGTTTAGGGTTTAGGTTTGGGGGTTTAGGTTGGGGGTTTAGGTTTAGGGCTTTAGGGTTTGCGGGATTTGATCCCTACGAGCCCAGGCACTGGGACACAAGAAGGCGTTGATCGTCACAGATGCAGTGCTTGTGAAGGTCGGCGCGGTGAAGGCAGCCACGGATGTGCTCACCGAGGCAGGCATCACCTTCGCGATCTACGACGGCTGCCAGCCGAACCCGACGGTGAGCCAGGTGGAGTTGGCTCTCTCAAAAAAGGGACCTTATTAAGACGGTCTATATCCCCAAGGGTCCCGGCAATCCGAACTCCCAAGGTGGAAGCCGGCTTGAAGATGATCAAGCAAGAGGGCTGCGACTTCGTCCTCTCCTTCGGAGGCGGTTCACCGCACGACTGTGCCAAGGCCATCGCCATCACCTGCACGAACGGTGGTGACATTCGTGCCATGGAGGGTGTCGACAAGAGCACACAGCCTATGTTGACCCTGGTCGCAGTCAACACCACCGCTGGCACAGGAGCCGAAATGACACGCTTTTGCATCATCACCGACGAGGACTCCCTGGTTCTTAGTAGGGAATGGGGGAATGGATCCCTATGATAGCCCCTTAAGAGGTCCCCCAAAAGTAGTCCCAAGAACTCATTCCTCCATTCCCTACGAAGAACCAGTCAGAGGAGCGCCATGTGAAAATGGCGATTGTCGACTGGCGCGTTACGCCCACGTTGGCCGTGAACGACCCAAAGACCATGATCCTAGGTCCTTTTTGTTTCAGGGCCCCCTTACTAAAACCGAATAGTCGGAAAAAAAGTACCCTTATTATAAAGAGGCTACTCATGAACCAAGGATCGGCATGCCCAAGTCCTTGACTGCTGCGACTGGCATGGATGCTCTCACGCACGCCATCGAGGCTTATGTAACCCCAAGCCTGAAGCCCCGATCCCCAAGTAGATCTAAAGCCCTAAGCCATGAGCCCTAAGCCCTAAAACCTAAAACCTAAACCCTAAACCCTGAACCCTAAACCTCAAGCCCTAAAACCTAAACCCCCATTCCCCAGAGGCTTATGTGAGCACCATCTCCAACCCAGTGACCGACGCTTGCGCCCTCCATGCCATGAAGCTGGGCTCTTGCTAAGGAACTTACTCTTTGTGTTGCCAAAATAGGAATCTACACCAAATAATGGGGTTTCCTTCCGATGCTAACTTAAACCCTAAACCCTAAACCCTAAGCCCTAACCTAAGCCCTAAACCCTAAACCCTAAACCGTAAACCCTAACTTGAACCCTAAACCCACTAAACTCCTCACACCAAGAGCCCAGGAAGCTCATCAGCTCCTACTTACCCACGGCCGTGGAGGATGGTAAAAACCTGAAGGCACGGGAGGGAAGTACGTGTAGGGGTGAGGGCAGTCAGGGGTTGAGGCTTTAGGATTTAGGGTTTAAGGGTTTAGGGCAGTGGAGGGTTCAGGGTTTCGTGTGCCCTCAATACCCTAAACCCTATAGTCCTAAACCCTGAAACCCTACCGTCCTGGAGGCCCGTGATATGATGGCCTACGCCGAGTTCCTCGCTGGCATGGCATTCAACTCCGCCAGCTTGGGCTATGTCCACGCCATGGCCCACCAGTTGGGGGGAATGTACAACCTACCCCATGGAGTCTGCAACGCAATTTTGCTGGGTCCGGTGCAGGCTGGGCTCTATTGGGGAATCACGTCCTAGTGTTCTCGCAATATGAACTTAAGGGGCGTTGTTACACATGCTACTGTACATCACTGTCTTACGTCAGAGCAGCCCTAAACCCTAAACCCTAAACCCCTAAACCCCTAAACCCTAAACCCTGAACCCAGGAGTACAACGCGAAGTATGTGCCGCACCTCTTCATCGACATTGCCGTCGCCTTGGGCTTCAGCGAGGTGGGAGCGGACCAGGACCTCGCAGTGAAGAAGGTGCTGAAGGCCATTAAGGACTTGAAGAACAGGGTCGGGATCCCCAAGAGTCTATGCCGTTCTGGCACATCAGGTTTTTTTTTAAGTTGGTATGGTAAATTTTCTTTTCAAGGAGCGAAGCTCAGTGTTTTTGGTGAGAAGAAGAAGAGCCGAGGAATCTCAAGGCCTTCAAAGAGGTGAAGGTGGAGCACTTCCCTGCTTTGGCAGACAATGCGATGAAGGACGCCTGTGGCTTGACCAACCCGCATCAGCCTACCAAGGACGAGGTCATTGCCCTTTTCCAAGCCGCCTATGACCAGGAGGATGACGACGTTGACGAGGTTGAGATGTTGCAGAAGCAGCTGTCAGCTGCTGCTGCCCGATGCAAAGATGCGGCAGCACTCAAGAAGGCTATGTGCGAGCTGTACTCGAAGTGAATCATAACAGATGTGGTCACTCCAAGTACGAGCTCTGAATCAGGGTGGCTTGCAACCATCGTTTTCAATTCTCAGCTGCGGCTTTTCAGTCAGCAAGCTCTCCATGCAGAGAGGACGCTTCTTGTCGCAGCTGAGTTCCACCGACAGAAATAGGTGGATGTGCAGAAAATTGAGCGCGCATTTTCGATGAGAGGACGTTCATGCATTACGTCATGATTCGTGCTGTGAGTTTTGCAGCGCTGCCTGTGTCACCGTACCACTATCGTGTTTACCATTTCTGCGTTTCTTTAGTTTTCCTCTTAGTGCTACTGTGTTTGTCCTTGACTCTAAACCCGGAACCCTTGTCCTTGGTCTCTACCTGGCGATAGTTTCTACAATTTTGGGTGGCCCAGAGGCGGTGGGAAGACGAGTCCTTCGGCCTGCTAATGCCGCTTGGCCACTGAAAGCCCAGTTGTCAGCTTGCATGTCAGTAGTGGCGACGGCCTTGGCGATGGACCTGGCGGACCTGGCTATGGCTATGTCCATAGATCTTGCTATGTTGGTCGGGCTTGTGGTTTTGTATCTTGCGTCTGCCATGGCCTGAGGTTGTGTTGCAATCGTATTGCTTTTTGCATGAGCATTGTCGGCATATTGCGCCGTTCGGATTACCGTCATTGTTGAGAGGCCTGGACTGTCAGCAACCTTGCTTCCTGAAGATCCGAGATGTATCTAATGCTTGATGATGAGGAACGATTCGTGGAGTGTCCGGCACACCTGGAAGCTTCTGGACATCCAGGTGGGGAGCAATACCTACGGTTTGGTGTTTAGGGTTTAGGGACCATGATGTCAGTAGACAGTGATAACCAGCATCAACAGTGCCAACGCACATGCAGAGAGCATGACAATACCACAAATAGTCTGAGCCCTAGCCTTTCCAATCATGGTGTGTGGTCGGGCAGTGATCGATGTCAAGTAGTATGGCGCAACAAAGCACATCTGATGAGTCACCTTCGTTAAAGTTTCTTCTCAGGGCATTAAAGCCTAAACCCTCAGCCCTTCAACCCTAAACCTTTGGCGTTTCAGACAGCTTCGTTAGGGCTGACGGTTCAAGGCTTTGAAATTAAACACTTAGCCTAAACCCTAAACCCTAAACACTAAACCCTAAACCCTAACCTTGTCACGGGATGGTAGCTTCGGCCCGATGCTCAGGCGCTGATGGACTCACCGGTGAAGTGGACACCGGAGGAGCTCCCAGGGCTCTGTTAATGAAGTGACCCGAAGAGTTGGGGTGTCGGTTTTGGGGTTTGGGGGTTTCGGGTTTTTTGGGTTTAGGGGTTTTAGGGTTTAGGGGTTTCGGGCTTAGGGTTCAGGTTCAGAGTGTTGGGTTTAGGGTCTAGGGGCTTGGGAGAGTCCATTACGGCTTGGCGCGCCTCGGAGGACTATCCTTGCGTTCGCCAGAAGCTGGGCAGTGCGTGCGGCTACTGATGGCAGCGCTTGGTTTAATGCGAAACTTTCCGTAACTATCCCAATACCTGCGAGATGCCAGGATCAGCCTTAAAACCCCAAAGCCTGAACCCGAACCTGAACCCTAAACCCTAAACAAACCCTAAAGCCTAAACCCACATCATCCTGAAAGCCTGAGCCCCTGAAGTCCCAATTCATGACACCCTGTAGAGCCAGGGAGAGTCTGAGACATGGTGAGATGCATGCTGTGGATCAAAATCGATGAAAATTTTAAGAAGGGCGACTAGAAGGAGTTCTACAAAGTTTCCCTTGGAAGGATGCCTTAAAGGATCCCTCTCAGGGGATTCCCCTAAAGGATTCCCTTTCAAGGCTTCCCTGAATGGGTTAGGGTTTAGGGTTTAGGGTTTGAGGGGTCCATGATTCGCCCTGCGGTGGAGAAGGATGGAGCTTGGGGGGGGGTGTTTCGGTCTCGGGTTTAGTGATTTAGGAATTTAGGGTTTAGGGTCTAGGAGTTTAGGCGTTTAGGAGTTTAGGAGTTTAGGGAGTTTAGGGCTTTCGGGGTTCCAGGGTTTAGGAGTTTAGGGACCTTGAGCCCAAACCCAACCCGTTAAGCCCTAATCCCCACACTGTGGAACCAAAGGTTCTTGTTCAACAGGTCTCTTTAGGGCGCTGCCGGCTAGATGAGGCTTGATCCAGGATCTTGCTGAAAAGGATATCGGGATCTTAGCCTCAACCCTAAGCCGTACATCAAGCTACCACCATGGTTTCGGTTTCGGTGTTGCGTGCAAGGTCCAGGGTTTAGGGTACTCGACTGGGGAGGGTTTATATTTGGGATTTTGGTTACTGGGCTAATTGTCGATCAGCTGGATGGCCAGTGCCTTGCAGCCGTGAAAGCTCAGACCGGTGAAGCGCAGCTTCCGGCATGGTTATGAAGGCGGGTGGAGGGGATCCTCCTCCTTCCAAGCCCCTAAACCTCCAAGCCCCCGCGGTTTTCAGCTGTCTCAAGATTCCCTCGTGGAATTGATGAGTGCGTCGCAACACTCCAACATCTACCGCCAAAAAGCCCTGAGCTCCAAACGGTAAACCGTAAACCCCAAACCCAACCGTAAACCCCAAACCCCATAAGCCCCCAGCCCTTGAGTCCTGGGCTCTTGGGCCCTACACCTTCGGTCCTCAGTGCCAAAGCATCAGGATGCCTGCGAGGGGCGGTTTAGTTAAGGGTTTCCGGTTTAGGGTTAAAGGTTTCGGGTTTAGGGTTCCGAAGGGATCCGGATACTCGAGTATTCAAAGAGAACTTGAAGTTTCGCTTCTTCCCGTTCCGCTGGGATTCAGGGTTCTTCAGCTAGGAGTTGAGTTTCGGGAGTGTAAGGGACAGAGGTGAATCGCTAAACCCCGGAAGCTTCATGCAACATCCGATCTCCCTCTGCGGAACCGAGCCCAGTTTCAGTTCAACTTTACGTGCCTTACCGAGAACATGTCATAGGTTTCTTTATTACAGCCTTACCCCGAAACCCTGTTCTACTAATTATCGAAGGCCCTATGACCTGGGACTGAGGGTCTGAGTTTCCATGCCCAGAGGTGCTCCTTGCGGTCCTCCTCATTTCTCAGCTCAGAGTGGCTGACGGCGGCCCTCTCGCTTATGGGATTTGTCAGACAGGCTGCAACGCCGTGGCCGTGGCATGCTACGCTGCAGCCGGAGCAACCTTCGGCACCGTAACTGCGGGCGTTGGCACTCCTGCCGCCATCATTGCCTGCAACTCTGCGCTGGGAGTGTGCATGGCCGCCTGTGTGGCCGCGGGATGTACTCCTACACCGTGAGCCAGACGCTACGAAGATGAAGGTTGGCATGCTTTGGGTAGCCGGGTAGCCTGTGAGTTCCGGATCTGAGCAGAACACGTGCGGATCAGCATGTGGATCTTCAGATGTCGAATTTGCAGGCTTCGGCCTCACAGAGGTAGCCACTTTGCATTCATATTACGCAGCCATAGGACGACGAAGAGGACTTCTGAACCCTGGCCCATCGAAAAGGGACATCCCGTGCACACTGCTGCAACGAACATACTACATACAAAGCCAAGCTTAAACGCGCTCCTGAACTCGTTTGTGTCTCTGTCGTCAACGCATTGTACTTTCTTGCGAGCTCTCTTTGTCAGGGCCGTACTACCGCGACGAAAGTCGTCTGGGTCGCAGTACTTGTCGTCGATAGGGGGATGGCGGCACTGGGGGTGGTGGTGGTTGTGGTGGTGGTGGTGGTGGTCGTCGTCGTCGACATCCCCAAAGTCGTGGTAGCGGCGGCGGCAGCAGCAGCAGCAGCAGCAGCAGCTGCCGCAGCCCAGCGTGGTCTTGCGTAGTTGTTACTGTTACTCGCTGCAACCATGATCACGATCACGCTGTGATTGCAATGCTGGTAAAAATGGACAGACAGCAGCAAAGTCGCCTTCCCTTTGCATGGCTGCTGTGTTGACTGGTGTCCTTGGTATTATGACTTTGAGCATAGGCTCGTCATGGACATGCCAGAGTTCACTCCGTGGGCACGTTGCTGCAGCCACACGGCAGGCTCTCGCCCGTAGCCGACTCGGCGCATGCTGTCAGAGCCTGTCTTGACATTGTGTTTGATTCTTGTTATCACCGATATCCTTTTAGTGCGATTGTTGAGTATCCAGCCTGAGGAATAGAGGTTTGCTGGAGAGAGCGCTTCAGCAGCCGCGGATGGAAGGGGCCACATCTCCAGCCATGGGCTGCTTTTCAAAGCCCAAAGCCCTGAGCTCAAGACAGAAACACAGGGGTTTAGGGTTTAAGCTTCTGCTGCACAGGTCGGAGTCGGAATTCGACATGAGCAGGCGAAGGCTGGGCCCTGCGATTTCGTCCAGTGACTTCTGAGGGTGTGGAGTCCAATCATTGGACCTGGACCTCTAAGGCATTGTTGGAATTCAATTCTGTTCAGTCTGGCGGCTGACAGAAATCCCATACCTCAGATGCAAAGCCCCAGCTTCCCATAGATCGCCACAGATGCTAGAGAGACAGGAGCCTTTGTATAAGGGCTGGAGAAAAGGAGGGTTCGGGGTTTCTGTGAGTGGATTTTTTTGCTATAGTTGCTGCTTTACCGCTGCTCTCATCAGCGTTGTTCTTTGGTCCTCAGGTCCCATGACCTGTCCGCCTTCTCATCATCATCTTCATCAGTGACATTGGGGTCTGACGATGATTCATCGCCATCATCATCACAGTCATCACCTGAATCACTCCCGTAAGTACTGCTTACTACTAGTCTAGAGTCGCACAGACTCAGCCCCACGGGGCCAGGCGACGTGAAGTGTTTCCTGTGGGCCCGCGCCAGCGTTGTGGCTTCCAGGAGGCTCCTAGGAAAAGGCTCCATCCGACAAGCTGCAGACTGGAAGCCATGCCCTGGTCACCAGGGAATCCTAGAAGATGCTGAGCCCGAAGCACCCGCCAAAAGCCATCCGAAACCAGGGTCTGCACCGCAAACCCGAAGCCCTCAACATCCCTAAACCATCTTGAAAAGAGAGATCCTGCATCC